TGTCCATGAAATAGCCCATTTCTGTGGCTGGATGGTTTAAGGAGGAATCATGACAGATGGCTGCACTTAGTTGCATATCTCTCAAGGAGACTCTGTAACCACTCGAAGGTACGTGGACAGGATATTGAGACCACAAATGAAACTATTTAGGGGGGCTGTTGGCACAGAGTTTTTCTAGTATGACAGTTTTCAGCGACATTGAGCATACATTGTCTGGGAATACTTCAAAACAGAAGATACCAGTCAAATGGATTGGCCACCTTACTTGCATAAATTGAACCCAATTGAGCATGTGTGGCATGCCTTAGGGCATTGAATTTCAGAGTGTCAAATTCCTCCCCAGACACTCCAGAAACTTTCAAAAGAATGGCATGCAATTCCTGAAGATTTGATCATGACCATACATCATATTAAAGGAAAAATTTTTTCTCATGAGAGGTGACTTAATTTTTGCATCATTTCCCAATTTCCATAAATTCAGTTTTAATTTCAATATTTTGTGAATAATCAACTGCCAAACATTGTAATTTATGCTAACTAATGCTTTTGTACAAATTTCTGTTAATAATTTTTCATTAAGTATCAGTTTCTTTTTTTCTGGCATTATCCTTTGAGTTTGATGACTGGTGTGCTACAAATATTATAAATGTACAATCTGAATTTTATATGATGTTTAACAGTAAAGAATTTTAAATTAATTTTATGTATAGATTAACTATTTACTTTGCATTTATAGCCATATAATTTATAGTTCAGCTATAATGCATTGGATAAAAGATATAATGCTTTTCTCTAATAAAACTGCTACTTTGGCATCACCAGCCTTGTTAACAAACAAAAGGGATGCTTATAATTAAACAAAATGCAAGCTATTGAAATTTAGTAATTTGATTTCATTCTTGCTCTTTTTTCCAGTATCAGATATGGTTAAAGACTTTAGCTTAGTATCAAGCTTAAAATTTTAAATAATTTTACATTTGTATGTAGCAAATGCTCAACACAAATGCGGTTCATGTCTAAATTAAAGAATGGAAATTAAAATAAATGTAACTATAGTCTGCTTACCTAGCCTCTTTGAGAATGCAAAAATTCAAATTGTACTTTAATAACAAAATTACAAAACATTCTTTGTTCCAAAGTAACACTATGTAATACAGTCAAAAGTCATTAATCCGGACTCGTCGGGACTTCGGCGATTCCGAATTATCGATTTTTCCGGATTATAGATCATCAGTTTAAATCTGGTAAGATGGCATGCAGAAATTAAAATTAAAAATATGAAACCGTAATTTATGAAAAAAAGAACAATTATGGTATAATAGGTATCAAAATTTAACAAAAAAAAGCTTAATATTTGTTTACTTTATTAAACATTTCTTTCACAATGTAAGTTGTTTAAGTTGCTTCGTTTTTTATGTGATAATACTTTCTCTTTAATTCTATAAACAGACATAATTTCTTGTTCAATTACAAGGTTCTACTGTTCAAGTCCTATAATTGCTGTGTCGAGAATACCGACTAATTTGTCAATCGAAATGTTTTCGTTTTCAATAACCTCTGTGTCACTTTCTTCACTATTGGAAGCAAATTATAATGACGAGGAATTTGATTTAAATCATATCAAAGACGGAGTACATCGAGATGAAATACTACGTTTAGTAAGGAATTATAAGCTAAATAAAATAAAAACATCTGCTCTGAAGATAAGTATAGTGCTGACAGATCAACTTCCAATTCATTGCATGATGCGGCGTTCCCCCCCCCCCCTCCGCCGCAGAGCAGCGTGAAATTGATAAACAGATTTCAGAATGGTTAGAGAAACAAAGGATATCCCTTTATCCATTTTTTGCAGCAATTCCACTTTTTGTTTGATGGACATCGAAACATACTTTTGCTTTGTAGATCCTTTGGGAGCTCCAGCATCAGAAATTCTATTTGACATAATCGAAAGTTTAAGCTTACTTTTATAAAACTGCTCTAACAGTCTGCAAAAATAATAAGCAGGGTCCAATTCGAAGATTAAGGAACAACGCAATCTGCAACATTAACTGAAATAGATAATTAGATAATTTTAGCTTATACCGTCCGTTATACATTAAACGTGCATGCATAAACGTATGATGCGCATGTGCACACGCATATGCGCAGCCGTAAAGGTCTTACGCGCAGAAAGTTTGTAGCTTTGAGGTCCGGATTATGGGTGTCCGAATTAACGACTTTTGACTGTACTTAATAATGATGTTTGGCTCAGTGGGGATCGACATAATCATTCATAAAGAAAACAGCAGGAACAACCGTTGCAGCATAATGCCTCACAATGGGGTGCAGGAGTTCATCTGTGTACTGTGCAGAGCCATCTTCAAAAATATATAGCTGGGTCAATATCCCATGAAAATTCCAGACCACACCATGATACTGACACCTCTGAATGTGTGTTTTTTTATAAAAATGACCGGTGAAGCAACTCCATATTATACTGGCCCTAATGAAACTAAGGTCTAATCCCTATGATTGTGTTACCATTATTGGCACTAAATCACACTGTTTGGTGACAGTGACATTAATACATGCTTTGCAATAGCTTTACATGTCTCTTATTAGCTTACCTTTTGGCAGGAGAGGGCAGGGAATTTAAACAGTATGCTGGTTACTTGAGCTTTCTGGTTAGTTAAATGCCAGATAGTTTCTCTGTCTTAAAAGTGTTGAATATCTCAACACATTCATTATTTAAGTGATAAGCAAAATGGCTACATTTACTGTGTCCAGCTTTTACTGTCTCGTCTTCTGCTGCAATCAAGTAACTTTTTAACTTTTGTATCCATTTTTCCATGTTTCAGCTAAGTTGCATGTAAATTCTTTTCACTTAGAAATGAAACACTTCCATTTTCTGTGGCAATCAGAATGCTTAATTCATATAATCTCTATATTACACTCTATGAATAGCACATGGAAGTTCACCAGTCTAATTATTTTTTTAGATGCATGAGTTTGATAAGTCCTGACACCATGCTATCTGTGTTATTGTTTATGTTACACAGACATGTGATTAGTTACTAAATACTATTTATGTAACACAATTCACTACCAGCCATGACTTATGACCAGTACAGTAGACTCTCGATTATCCGCGCCTGCCGCACAAAAGTTTTTTTTTACAAGCGTAAAGCAAATAAAATAAGTTCAAGTTCAAAAAGAGTAAATCCTGTAAATGGTCCTGTCATTGCGGCGAAAGCAAAAACCTTTTTTGAGTTTTAGTCCTGAAAGGGAATTTTGATGCTTCTTCTGGCTGGTTGACTCGTTTTTCAAGCAGCGACATGGAATTCGAGAAATTCGACTTCATTTAGAGAATATATTAAGCATAATAAGCTAAAGTATTAAGCGTTAGTAAAACATTTCCTGCTGTTTATTTTACGTTTTATTGTACGTAAAACGATTTTTCAAAGTTTGAATGACTGTTTTCTTATTTGCTATACCCGTTTTTAGCTTTTTTCAGATTATGCACAATTTTTGTTATCCACGGAGACCGCACCACCCAATTGTGCGGATAATCGGGAGTGTACTGTACTGTACACATGGTGTGCAAGCAGCAACAACCAAAACACTAACATGGCAGCAGTGTTTTTAATACTGTTATTATTTTTAATATAATTAATATAATATAGTTATCAATATATATGATAATAGTTAATATAATTTTGCTTTAATGCATATACCTAGTAAAGTTTAATAATGAAAAGTTCCTAAGCTTGAACTAAAATACATATCTTTTAGAGAGAAGAGCCTGCCGTAAAGAGTTTCCATATAAATGAAAATAGGTTTAATTACATTCTTTAGCTTGTGTCAAAACAAGCTTAATTTGTGCAATATAATGTACTGTATGTAATAATATAGATGTTATGAAAAAATGATGAGAGTGGATAAGTGAAAAATTTTGGTAAAGATTTCAGTTTTTCAGGTGCAATTATTACATATGTATTTTAACCAGTGATTTTTTGGAGGGTGATATATATATATATACATAATAAGCAAGCAGATCACGGCACATTCCTAATGCCAGAGAACTCAATGAGGGAAATATTTGTACAGTACAGTATACATTTTATGTTGATGAGAGTCGCAAATTTTGAAGGTTTTGGGGATTTCCCGATTAATGAAATATCTCATGCAGAGTGTGACATGTCTGGCTCAGTTGCCTCATAAAGCCGCAGGGGCACCTCACATAAATCAGCCTTGATTTCAATTAGCAAGAGGTACATTGCAGGGAACAAAGGTAAAGGGTGCAAACAAAAAGACCTGTATTTCTAAAGGTCGAACACTTCATCTGTAGATAAGTACAGTGGGCTGAAATGTTAATAAAAGAAGTAAGGTGAAATCACATGTTTGGAAAGTTTCTTAAGTGTGGTGATTAAGTAATTAAATGAAAGATCTGCACAAAATATTTTTCAAATAATAAATGCAAGAAAAAGTAAAACATATGAAATGCTAATACAAAATTGCAAATGCAAATTAAATATATTGAATAATAATAATTAAGGAAATACCGTTCACCAATAACTTCCTCAAAGAGAAAATCTGTGTACAATAGAAGAAGAGAAGATTATGCAAATATTTTCAGAATTTATCACTGAAAAGCTAGACGGGAAAATACTCGATAAATAAGAAAATTATTAGTTGAAGTAGTTGAATATTTTTTGGAACAGTTGTGTTCTTTCACATTTTTCAAAAATTTATATCATTTTATTAGCTTTTAATGTTACTCATGTCTAATCTCATTTTCTTACTAATGATGATTATTTTTGTGATGTGTAAGATTTTTTAAATAAATTTTCTTCATTTTGCTTTGTCACCATCAGTGAGCTATTATTGTTGTTGCATGGGTTAATTCGTACTGTGTTCTACATAAACTACAACAGCACCTATGACCAAGACCTCCTTTTTGCTTCTGTATAGTAATCTTCCATATATCTAGTTATAAGTGTTTATTTCTTGCTTACTTACAGGTATATCGTTATTTACGAATTTTTGATTCACGAGCAGGATATGAAGTACTGCCATGTAAAAGATACTCGATGGAAAATTACATAGGTGCCAAAATCTGTGCCACAAAAAAGTGGTAAGTAGAGATTCAGGTTTTCAGCACGGCTATAATATTTATGAAAATTAGGCATTTATTTATGTATTCTGTGTAATAAACTGATTTACTTTGATTTTATTTCAGGTACAAAAATGACAGGATACCATTTTTAGTAGGTTGTATTGCAGAGTTAACAGAAGAAGAAGAAGCACACCTGCTTCAGCCTGGTAGAAATGATTTTAGTGTAATGTATTCATGTCGAAAAAATTGTGCTCAGTTATGGTTAGGACCAGCTGCTTTCATAAATCACGACTGTAGAGCAAATTGTGAGGTAAAGTTGTCTGTTGTAATCTTTCAAAATTTCATTCCTTAAATAACCAGCTTATTTTTAATTAGAAATTTGGGAATTGTTTCTAAATGTCATGCTAGTGAATTTTCAGTCTAAATCATAGGTTCTTAACATTTTAACTAACACGTACCATCCAAACAAAAATTGAAAATGTTTATTACCATCACTAGATTATTTTTCAAATTTTCAATAGAAATATTAAATATATATATTTGCCATTTGCACAACCTATTGGCTATTTGTATTAAATATGCACAAATATATTGTATTAAAAATTGTTTACCATTTTAATTATCAAAATTTAAGTTATACTTTAATTCTAAAATGTAGTGTGAAATTTGGGCTTATTTAAGAGATCAATTTCTGTATGTCCAGTCTTATTTCACTTTAACAGTAAACTAGGATATGCTTTTAATTTTGTTCTGGGTTTATGTTTCAAATGTAACATGAAAGAAAGTCCTTGTTCACACAAATAGGTACTGTGCAATAAAAATTTAACAGATTTATTTGAAATGCCTTTAGTTTTTCCCCCATTCAGCCAAGAGTTAAGAAGTATGCTATAGTTCGACCATCTCAACCGCAACCCTAGTTGGCATTCAGCCAAAACACATAGACTCATTCAAAAGGGATGGTATTACTTGCTGCGACATGAAAAGTCTTCTCTTCTGAAAGAGCTATGTTGGCCTATCCTTCCACCCTATTTCGAGAATAATTCGGTCCGAATGGCACATGCGTTTTTGCGCTCATGGCCGCGGCTGAGGCGGTCGAACTATATTTTTTAAATCTTCAGTTATAGTTCGATCACATAAAATTTCGATCAATTGTTCATTTTCTTCATAAAATAAGATTTCAAGTACATTTCAATAAAATGTATTTCTAATTTTTCATAATCCTCTGGAAAATACATGTTCAAATTATTTATCAATGAAAAATAATGATTTTTAATGTCGGGTGCAAATTCTTCATTTATTTACAAATTATTTCTGGTTAGAAAACTTTCTAAATATTTGTACAGTACAGTGTAAATTTTATGTCGATGAGAGTCGCAAATTTTGAAGGTTTTGGGGATATCACAAGAAATGTGAAATTTCCCCATTAACGAAATATCTCGCGCAGAGTGTGACATGTCTGGCTCAGTTGCCTCATAAAGCCGCAGGGGCACCTCACATAAATCAGCCTTGATTTCAATTCTCTAGAGGTACATTGCAGGGAACAAAGGTAAAGGGTGTAAACAAAAAGACCTATATTTCTAAAGATCGAACACATCAGCAGTAGATAAGTACAATGGGCTGAAATGTAAATAAAATAAGTAAGGTGAAATCACGTTTGGAAAGTTTCTTAAGGTAAAAGGGTAAAATGTTATTATCTAGTTCTTTGATTATTAGCTTGAGTTTTTTATTATTGCATTTATTTTATCTGTAATGTTAAACAATTTAAGACTTTGTCCTTCAAATCCTGAATTTCATTCTATCCAAAAATATCAGCTAAATATGCTAATGTGCCAATCATCATTCACTAAATAAACATTTTGCAATTCAAATTTTAAATCATAGAAAAAAAATTTAATTTCTGTTCGAAGTTCAAAAAGACGATTTAAAACTTTGCCTCTGGATAGCCACCTTACTTTAGAAAGTAACAAAAGCGTTTTATGTTCACTGCCCATCTCTTGGTATAAAATCATACATATTTTTTAATTTAAAACTCGACTTTTAATAAAATTAACAATTTTCACAGCTTGATTCAAAACAATTTTCAGGTTTTCGGGGATCGTTTTGCCTACTAAAGCTTCACAATAAATGGAGCAGTGAGTAAATTTAGTTTCAGGTGCGACATTCTTTATTTGAGATATAACACCGGAATATTTTCTTGTTAAAGCCCAATCTCGAATACTGCATACAGCAATGCACATATTCCAAGGAATATCATTTTGAGGCATAAAATCATCAATTACTTTGAAAATTTCATCCACAGTTTACTCTATCACGAAGAGATTCACAACATAAATACTCTTCGGTAATTTTTTCATCTTCTTCTAAGCGTATGTAAACTAATAATTCAACAAAGTTCGTAATATCAGTACTTTCATCCTATTGCAATGGAAAATACTCGCTGTGTTTTATTTTTTTAATAAGTGTCTCTTTCATGGAATTTATCATTTCATGAATTCAACTTACTGTATTATTTGATTACGGAATATTATTAAGTTTGTAAGGATTTTAAGTTTTACTAGCGTTTATTTTAAAACTTTGCTATCCTCTCTTATTTTCCATTTCTTGCCAGAATAAGCACGATTAGTTTTGTTTCTGCAAGTGAGCTTGCAAACTGTTAAGTATTTAAGATATGGCTTTTAGCCAAAAGAGATAGATTAGAGAGACTTCTCGCTGCCTTGCCAGACCAGAACTTAGTCTCTTTGATACGTGAAGACGTATCGTAGTTTCCTGCATTCTGCTCACTTACATACATGGAGATAAAAGGCCAATCTTCGCATTACTAGTCTTTCTAAAGTATCTAAGTTTAATTCTTATTAAGTTAGTTTTACATCTTATTTTCTGTTTTTATACCATAAGTGCTGGTCTTTGTATCCTGAAGTGCGGGAATGGCTGTAAACTGTGAGAAAGAGAGGGTAATTTAACCCTTTGCATCCTTGTTATATCTTCTACTCACGCAAGCATATTTTCAGTAAGCTCCCTGCTTCCATTCAGGATTTGCAGATGTTTTCAAAAGCTCTTAGAAGGAACAGATGTCCTAACAAGTTCATTAGCCGCTTTTTCGTTGAATAATGTTAAAACGATATCTCTTAACTTCTAGTAATGTAAGATTTTCTCCAATAGTGTAACCCTGCCCAGTCTTAGCAATTCTTAGGCTTACTAGTTAACTAGCATCCAAAGCTTTTTCATTTAAAGTAACAAAACCTTTCAATACTTGTTTACTGTTTTTGAGCTCCGATAATTTTCTCTCAAAATATTTTTCAGATTTATCCTTTAAATTGGCATTGCTTAGATTCAAGATGTCTTTTATGAAGCGATGGTTTTATACTTTGACTGGGTAATAGCTCACCGCAAACAACACATTCAGGTTGAGTATCCATTTCATCTCCATTCCAGGTGAACCCAAATGATAAATAAATTTCATTATATTTTTCATAAACAATTTTTTCTTTTCAATATTCTTAGTGCTAGTAGATTGTCCTGGATTCGTCACCTGTAAATCATCCCTTTTTCCACTTAATCAATCCTAGCCATTTTTTTATTTTGGAAATCTAGGTTCGTTTTGTAATTTTTTCACAAATATTTAAATTCACATTATGAGTTCTTCAAAGACACACGACGATATTCTCAAATCACATAGAACAATAAAGAATACACAATATACCTGATTTGCAACAAGAACACAATATACCTGATTTGCTGTCTTCGACGTAAAAAAATTAATCTGATTGAAAATAGAGCAATATGAGCACGGAAATGGTAGTGACATAAAATGTATACCTGCTAATAAATCGATCAACAGTAAAACAATTAATGGTATCCTATTATCTTTTTATAGGGACTTATTTTTATTTCCTATTAAGTACAACATCCATTTCTATTACTCCTTTTAAAAACATCATTTAGAATAAATTTTGTTATGTCTGAGGCTAAAACAATATTTGTGAAAATAAAACTGATTATTTTGCTAAAATCTGTGAGCAGCTATTGGCCTTGAACAAAGCTCAGATCGCATAAATTTATGAGTGTTAGAGAAAAAATTTAAACAGGATGTTGGAGTATTTAATTTTTGAATTTAATAGTTAGAAGTACTTTTGTTTGCGTACTACCTATTTTTCTATCGCATACCACTGGTTGAGAATTGCTGATCTAAGTGATCTCTCTCTCTTTTTTTTAAAAAAAAAAAGATTGCAAAGGGGCAAAATGAAGATAGGTAACATTTATATAAAATCACAATAACTCAAGTATTGTTAACATATTAGTTTATAAAGTATCTTTAAAAAAATTAATAAAACAGTGAAACTGTCTTATCCTAAGTTGGGCCCTCCTCCCCTCTCGACTTTCTTTTTAATATGATTTATAAAGAGAATTTTTTTTCATAACTTGTTCCGTCCCTTTCTTTCTTTTAATGTGGTAAGATTTCCGCACCTGCCAACTGCTTGAAATTTTGAACTAGTCTTATAGAAATTGGATTTTATCAATGAAAATTCAAAATTAATGTGACTAATGTGAATACCAGGAGATAAATGAGACTGTATGCAGATTATTCTGTTGCACTTATCCAGTCCTCTCCCACCTAAATTCTTTCTTGACCTTGAAATTACCTAAGGTTCCAACTTGGTATAAAAATCTTAAATTTAATATTGAAGATTTTAGTTGTTTAAAGTCATTTATCTGGTATATACTGAGATTGGTGTGGCTTAATTTGTTACTACAAGCTGCTCCATTTTCATAAAATTTACTGCTCTAAACTGTTACATTTCGTAAATTTGAAATTGTTCAAAAAGTATTCTTTGGTATCAATTACTGGGATTATAAAATCTTTTAATTAAAATTATGCTTCTGTAATGAAATATTAGTACACACACGAGAAAGTAAAATTTAGTGAAAGATATAGGAATATATTTAAATGATGTTTTGTAATCTGTTCTGATATTTTAGTTGAATATAATCATGGAAGCTTAAAACACACAGACACGCAAAAAAAAATTTTTTTTTTAATCTTTAAGTAAATTTAATAATCATGGAAAGCCATTAATTGTGTCAATGTTAATAATAAGTACTTTTTGATAATTATTGCATTTATAATGAAATTTATATGATAGGAACTTTTGTCTTGCGTTAAAGATTTTAATCCAAATTGGTAAAAAACCTCTTGCATATTAACATTTGAAGCTATTCTGAGGAAATTTTCATCGTTGAAACTGCACACATACAGATGTCTAAATCGCTAAATATTAGTGATGCACTTTCTGTTACTTCAGCTTTTAGTGG